AGTGCAGTATGAAAATAGAATACAGATTATTAGGAAAGGGGAAGGGGACAAAGAGGAGGGAGGGTAAGAGTGGGCAGTAAGGAGCATGGGTAGAATCAAAATATATATTATAGGTTTGCATGGAGATGTCACAATGAAACCTGTTAATTTTTACTATTAATATGGTTTAATGATATAATTTTTATTAAATAAATTAATAATTATAAGCAAGTATAGCAAGATTTCAGGAAACAAGATTAATCTATCAAATTCAATTGATTTCCTATTTGCCAAGTACAAATGGAATGTGAAATAGAAAACACAATATACTATTTATATTAACACAAAAGAAATGAAATTCTTAGGTATATGTCAAACAAAACATGTATGAAATATGAGGAATGTACAAAACACAGATGAAAGAAGTTAAAGAACTAAACAAATGAAGAGATATTCCATGTTTATAGATACTAAGACAATATTGTACAAATGTCATTTCATAGAGAGTGGTTTCAAGTTTGTGGAATAGAGCAGGTGACTTTCCTGGCTGCTCTGTGGTGTGAAACCCAAAAAAGTAGATAGGTGCTTCACAGCAAGTAAGGAACTGGAAACCTTCAGGGACACTATAAGTCCACAGGGTAGAAACTCTGCTGCCTTAGATCCATACTGTTAGACAGGTAGACACACACACACAAAAAAGAAAAAAACAATGGAACAAATCACCTCAAACAAACCAAGATATACTTCAATAACAGAATCCATCACCACCACAAATGGAGGAAATGTCAGAGAAGTAGTTTAAACTAATCAGCAAGGTAAAGAATAATGTAAAGAGTGATATCGGAGAGGAAATACAGGAAGTGAAAGATTACTTCAATGAAGAGAGATTTTGAAAAAAAAAAACAAGCAGAAATCCTCGAAAAGAAGTAATCGATAAACCAAGTTAAAAACTCAATGGAAAGCATCACCAACAGACTAGACCCCTTGAAAGACAGAGTTTCAGACAATGAAGACAAAATATACAATCTTGAAAAAAAAAAAGTTGACCATGGATAAAAGATGCTAAAAGACCAGAATAAAACTTCCAAGAATATAGGATAACCTGAAAAGACTAAATTTATGATTTATTGGCATAGATGAAGGCTCAGTGATACAAACCAAAGGAATGCACATTCTTTTCAATGAAATAATATTAGAAAATTTCCCAAACTTAAAATGGAATGTAAAATCAAATATAAGAGGCTTACAGGACCCCATATATACAAATGTCATTTCATAGATCCAATGCAATTCCAATAAAAATCATAACAAGTTATTTTATAGATATAAATAAACTGATTCTGAAGTTTATATGGAGGGCAAATGACCCATAATAGCCAATTCAGTACTTAAATAGAATAAAATTGGATAATTGAAATTCCCTCCCTTCAAGATCATAGAGCTGCAGTAATCAAAGTAGTGTAATGTTGTATTGACAAAAGAATGAACATGGGCTGGGGTTGTAGCTCAATGGAGGAGCGCTTGCCTAGCATGTTTGAGGCACTGGGTTCGATACTCCGCACCACATATAAATAAATAAAATAAAAGTCCATCAACAACTAAAAGATATTTTTAAAATATTTTTTTAAAAGAATGAATAATGGGCTGGGGTTGCAGCTCAGTGGTAGAGCGCTCCCCTAGCACATGTGAGGCCCTGGGTTCAATCCTCAGCACCACATAAAAATAAATAAAATAAAGGTATTGTTTCCAACTACAACTATAAAATAAGTATTAAAAAAGAATGAATAAGGAGAACAATGGAACAGAATGGAGAACCCATAAATTGACTATATAAATACAGTCAACTGATTAAAATATAGTCTATTCAATAAATGGTGCTAGAAGAATTGGATATCTTCATGCAAAAAAAAAAACATGAATGCAAACCTTACACTGTTTATAAAAATTACCTCAAAATACATAATAGACCTAAATGTAAAGTGCAAAACTATAAAATGCCTAGAAGAAAATATTATAGAATGAAAACCAATGGTACAGAATAGAAGACACAGAGACATAAATACAGTTATCTCATACTAGACAAAGGTGCCATAAACATACATTGGAGAAAAGATAGCCTCTTCAAAAAATGGTGATGGGAAAATTGGAAATCCATATGTAGCAAAATGATACTAAACACCTGTCTCTCACCCCAAACAAAACTCAACTCAAAGTGGATCAAGGACCTAGGCATTAGACCAGAGACTCTGTGCCTACTAGAAAAAAAAAAAAAGTAGGCCAAAATCCCTATCCTGTTGGCTTAGGAACCAAATTCATCAACAAGTCTCCTAAAGCACAAGAAATTTACTTTCTTAGCAGTTTTGAAATATACAAATGGGATGGATTCAAACTAAAAATATTCTTCACAGAAAAGGAAACAATCAAAAACATGAAGAGAGAGCCTACAGAATAGGATAAAATCTTTTCCACCTGCACCTCAGATAAAGCATTAACTTCCAGGATATATAAAGAGACCAAAAATTTAACACCAAAAAAAAATGACCCAATCAATAAGTGAGAAAGCAACTGAACAGACACTTCACAGAAGAAGAAATATGATTATTCAACAAATATAGGAAAAAAATGTTAACATCTCTAGCAATTAGAAAAATACAAATTAAAACTACACTGAGATTCCATCTTACTCCAATCAGAATGGCAATTATCAAGAATACAAGGAACAATTAATGTTGGCGAGGATGCAGGGAAAAAGGTACACTCTTACAAAATGATACAACTATTCTGGATAGCAGTATGGAAATTCCTTAGAAAACTTGGAATAGAACCCCCACCAGAATCATGAACATCCACAAGAATTGGGTTGTAATTAGAATAAGATATATTCCATGCTTGTATAATTATATCAAAATGGACTCTACCGCCACATATAACTAAAAGGAGCCAATAAAAAAGGATTCAAACGACTCCATAGCAAGAATAATTTTAAAAATGGACAAATTTATCTCAGTAGACATTTCTTAAAATGTTCAACATCTGTAACCATTAGAGAAATGCAAATCAAATCAAAATGAGATATCGTCTCATACCTATCAGATTAGCTACTTCGAAAAAGACAAATGATAACAAGCATTAGCAAATATATGGGAAAAAAGATACTCTAGTACACTCTTAGTGGAAATGCAAATTAATATGCCCATTTAGGAAAATAGTATTGAGATTTTGCCAAAAAAAGGGGGATCTTAATATAATAACTATGTGATCCAGCATTCCCACTTCTGGGTATAAATACAAATGAATTGAAATCAGTATGTCCCACTTCCATGTTCATTGCAACATTATTCACAATAGTTCATATATAGAATCAAGCTAAGTATCCATCAACAGAAGAACACATAAATAAAATCTGGTATATATGCATGATGGAATTCTGTACAGCCTTTGAAAGAAGGTATTTCCATCATTTGCAACAACCTGTATGGAACTAGAGGACATTATGTTAAGTGAAATAAGCCAGGTACAGAAAGACAAATACTGTATCTTCTCACTTACATGGTGGAATCTAAAACAATTTATCTCAAAGAGGCAGAAAATAGAATAGTGGTTACTAGAGTCTTTGGATATGGGGGAAATGGGGAGATGATGTCCAAAAGGTACAAAACCTCAATTAAAACAGAAGAATAAGGTTTTTTTCTTTGAGATACAATGCATGCTAAATGTAGTAAATGATAATGTACATTTCAAAATCACTAAAAGTATATAGAAGTAACTCCCTCATGTCTTGACAGGATATAGAACAAATGAAACTCTGTAAAGTGACAAGAACATAGAATAAACAAAAAAAATGAATGTCCATTCTTTTCTTTCTAAGAGCACATGAAATTTACTTTCTTAGCAGTTTTGCAATGCACTCTCACAACAAAACTGATAAGTATTTAAGATAATGTATACATTAAGTAATTTCATTTAGTTTTCACACTGTGTTTATAAATCATAACATCACTTCTTATACTTTTATATATATTAGTATAATTTGTCAATTTATAATGATAAAATATAAACCAAATGACAAAGAATTTAATGAGTGAGTTTACCAAATTTTGATTACAATTACATTTTTTTATAAACTGTGCTAGAATATAGAAAATTAGTGGGATTCCAAACTCACTTTTCCATTTTTGGAAAAAGATTGTTTGTGTTACTTTGTACTCAGTCTTTGCCCTATTCCTGACCGAAGGCAACCAAGGATCTTTTTTCTGGAACTTTAAATTAGTCTTGCCTTTTCTAGAACTTCATATAAATGGAATCATACAATATATACAGTACTTCTGAGTGGACTCATTCACACCCAGAATAATGTTCTGGGTTATCCATGTTTTGTATGTATCAGTAAGTTATTCTTTTTCATTTATGAATGCATTTTATTGTATACTTATAACATGTTTAATTTATCTACTCATTGATAGTTATTTGAGTTGTTTTGAATTTGTGTATATTGTCAATAAAACTGCTATGATGTTTATGAAAAATCTTTTTGTGTATGTACATATATTTTAATTTATCTTGTGCAAATACTTAGGTATATAGTATTTGGGTCATAAGGTAGAATGTGTTTTCACTTAATCAACTACTGCCAAAAAGTTCTCCAAATTGATTGTTTCATTTCACAAACCTCTCCCCAGAAATACATGAGAGTTTCATTTATTCTATATCCTTACCAACACTTGCTACTTTCAGACTATTTAATTCTGACCGTTTTAGTTGACATACAATGATATCTTACTATGTGCTATGCTCTGAATGTGTCCTCCAAAACTCATGTGTTGGAAAGTTAATCCTTAGTGCCACAGTGTTAAAAAGTGAGGCCTTTTGGAAGTTGTTAAGGTCATGAACTGTTCACCTCATAAATAACATAATGCATTATGAAAAGAACTTACAAGAGTGGATTTGCTCTCTCTGCTTTTCTGCCATATGAGGACAAAGTATTCACACCCTTTTGTCTTTTCGCATTCTGCCATGTGAAGATGCAGCGAGAAAGAAATCACCAGATGCCAGAACCTTGTTTGGGTGCTTTCCAGCTTTCAGAAATGTGAGTAATACATTTATTTTTTAAAAAATTACCAAGTCTCAGGGCTTGTATGATAGCAGCTCAGAATGAATTGAGATACTATGAATTCTGGTATTTCATTTTATTTCCTCTATGGTTTAATATCTATGCCTTTCTCTTTTATTTTTTAGTAATTGTTACATGGTTCACAGTGTCCATCCTTATTAAATTCATGTTCAAATATATTATACCATTTCATACACAATCCAAGAAACTTAAAACTGTGTACTTCCATCTTTCCTATTCTTCTGTGGAATTGTTGCCATATATTTTATTTCTCCATATGCCATAAACCACACAATTATTATGTTTCTCTAATAAGTTATTTTTCCATTCTTCTACTCTTAATCTAGTAACATGGTTCTATTTTCAATTTCAGATTGTTTTACTGTATTTTATATATTTTCATTGAAAAATAACAATTGTGTATTAATTTTTGTGTATATTTGTGGGATACAATATGATGTTTTTGATCTATGTATACAGTGTAGAAATATTAATTCAATCTATTTATCCATCACCTCACCTACTTATCAGTTTAAGGTAAAAACTTCATAAATCCATACTTTCAGCAAGTTTGAAATATATTATACAATATTATTAATTTTGGTTACCATGTAGTACAACAGATCTTCCATTACCCTTTTCTATGTCTACAAATGATTATGGAAGTATTTCAATATTATTTTAGGATTAATAAATTTTAGTGAATATGTGAATTTATAAATGTGGAATCCACAAAAAATGAGGATCAACAGCATTATATACCAGAATACTAGGCTTGTAGTATAGTGGGAAAAAATCAAAGTTCATGTTCATTGAGCACAGTTGCCACCAATTCTTCTCTAGTGACCATGAAGGAAACACTTAATACCAATGCAGTGAAGGTAAGGTGCAGGGAATGTGGGGTCAATATTCTCTTCTGCTTCTTGTGTACGGCTTCTCTTAGCTCATATAGATAATTCAGTGTGACATAGTGTATGTTCTAAGAGAAAAAGAAGTGAAATGCTGTCTCTAAATAAAATACAAAATAGAGCTGGGGTTGTGGCTCAGTGGTTGAGTACCCCTGAGTTCAATCCCCAGGACCAAGAGAAAAAAAAAGAATATACAGATACAAAATCAACAAACGTGGGAAAACAATATAATAACAAAATGAGAAGATTGAAAAAAATGGGAGAAAAATCTTAAATCCAAAAATAAGTCTCCCAAATGAAGAATCTAATGACTGAATTGATGAATGCAATGGAAAGTTTCAAAATCAGTTTAAATCAAGCTGAAAAAAGAATCAGTGAGCTCAAAAACAGGATCTTTGAAGTTATCCAATAAGAAGGTCAAAAAGAAAAAATATAAGAATGAGTGAAGAAACCCTGCAGAAATTATGGGTCACTGCCAAGAGACATATCTTATACAAAATAGGAATTAAAGAAGAATGGGAAGAAAGCATATTCAAAGTCATAATAACTAAAAACTTCCTTAATTTGGAGGAAGAACCCAGCATCCAGATATAGAAATCACAGAGGTCTCCAATCAAATTTCGTTCACGAACACATAACAGAAAAATTTGATAGCAGCAAGACATAAGAAACACATAACACACAATGGAATTATAATATGACTATCAGCACATTTCTCAGAGAAACTCTTTAGGCCACAGGAGAATGAGATGATCTATTCAAAACACTTAAAGGAAAAAAGAAACTGCCAACAAGGAATAGTTTACCCAGAAAATTTGTCTTTCCAAAGTAAGGAAGATATTTTTTAAATTCCCAAACAAAATCTAAGGGAGTTTATTAGGTCAGCCTAATGGGGAGTGCTAAAGGGAGTTCTTTAAACAAAACCAAAGTGCCATTTAGTAATAATATAAAAGTTAGGAAAAAATGAAACTCATTGATATAATATAAGCCCATGCTCAGAATATTCTAGAATTATAATGTTGGCATATAAAGCAATTTTCTTCCAAAAATGAGGGTTAGAAGACAAAAGTATTCATAGGGATAGCTGAAATAAATTTTCAAGAAACACATTTTACATAATGATGCAAATTCTGGCATCAAAAACATACAATGTGCTGGGCATGGTGACACAGACCTGTAATCCCAGCAGCTCAGGAGACTGAGGCAGGAGGATCATGAGTTCAAAGCCAGCTCAGCAACGGTGAGGTGCTAGGCAACTCAGTGAGACCCTGTCTCTAAATACAAAAAAGGGCTGGGGATGTGACTAAGTGGTTGAGTTCCCCTGAGTTCAATCCCCAGTAACCCCCCCCCAAAAAAAAAACATACAATGTATGGAGGGATAAAAGTATAGAGTTGAATGTAATCCAAGTTAGTTTATCAGTTTTAAATAGACTGTATAAATTGTTCTGTGTACACCTCATGGTAACCAAAACAAACAAAAAAATACCTATAAGAGATGCACAAAACAAAGCTATAGTAGCTGGAAATGATAGCACATGCCTGTAATACCAGGGACTCCATTGGCTGAAGAAGGAGATTGCAAGTTCAAGGCCAGAATGAGTAACTCAGTGAGACCCTGTCTCAAAATGAAATAGAAAGGCCTAAGGATAGCTATCTAATATTTACTACATTTAAAAATCTAATATTTACTACATTTAAAAAAAAATAGTTTTGAAACAAAAAAAGAAAAGAAAGGAAAGGAAGAACAAACAATGTAGCCAAGTGATAGAGCACTTGCCTAGCATATTCAACATCATGGGTTTAACTCCCAGTACTGAAAAAAGGAAAGAAAATATTCAACTCATACCACTATGAACACCATTAAAATACAAAGAAAGTCAGCAAGATTGAAAGAAACGAAGTGTCTATAAAACAACCAGAAAACAATTACAAAATAACAGTAGTAAGTTCTTACCCATCAATAATTACCTTGCATGTAAATTGATTTAAAATAGAGTGAAATAATATGTATGTCTATATGTTAAAAGACCCAACTGTATGTTGCTTCCTTGAGACTCACTTTACTTTCAAAGACCCACAGACTAAAAAAAAAAAATTTATATATATATATATATATATATATATATATATATTTTTTCCCCCCCTGTGGAAATAGAAACCATGAGAAAACAGGGGTAGTGATACTAATAAAAGAGTCAATTCATCAAAAGAATATAACAATTATAAATATGTATGCATCTAAAAGTGAACCACCTAGATATATAAAGTAAATACTAAAGGGTATGAAGAGAGAGATTACAACACAATAATAGAAAACTAAACTACCCTTCAATAATAAAAGTAAATAAACAGAAAATTAATAAGGAAACACTGGACTTGAACCACAGTCTAGAGCAAGTGGGTCTAACAGATATATAAAGAACATTCCATCTAACAACAATATACATATTCTTACCATGTGCACATAAGACATTCTCCATGATAGATCACATGTTAGGCCACAAAATAAGTGCTGTAATTTGGATATAGTTTGAATGTGTCCTTCAAAGGCTTCATGTGTTCAAATTCAATTATCACTATAAGACATGGGTTTTAGAGGCGGGATCTTTGGAGGGTTATTAGAATTAGACAAGGCTATCAGGCTGGAGCCCCCATGATTGAATTCTAGTAACTTTATAAGAAGAGAAAGAGAGAACAGAAAGCATACAACTGTGTCCTCCCTGTCACTTGCTATTTGATGTCCTGCAGTGTTCTATGACTCTGCCAGCAAAAAGTTCATCACACATGTGACCCTTCAAACTTGGACCTTCAGCACCAGTATACCAAATAAATCTCTTAGTAAAATTTACCCATTTTGTGGCATTGTGTTATTGACAACAGCAATTGGAACCAAGAAAGAAAATATCATGGAGTGGGGCTGTTGCTAATTATGAATACCATAAAATGTAGAAGTGGCTTAGGAACTGGAGGATAGGCAGAAGTTCAAACAGTTTGGAGGGACAGACTTGGAAAATCCTACAATGCTTAAGCAGAGCATTACTGGTGATTCTACTGAGAGCTCAAAAACAAGGAGACTAGAGAACTAGTCTCAGATGGAAATGAGGGTCCTATTGAAAATTGGAGAAAAGGCCATCCTTGTTATGAAAGTAGCAAAAACCTTGGCTGAGTTGTATCCATAGAAGGCTAAATGATAAATTGGTGAAAGAAATTTCTAAACAAAATAGATGGGGCTGTGTGGTGCTTCTGGCTGCTTTAACTTCAATAAAAAAGCAAAGGGAAACAACAAAAAGATTTGGAAAGTTTGCAGCCTGGCTAAAGAATGAGTGAAGAAAAGGCTTGCCAAGATATAGCTAAACTATCTCTTGATAAAGGGATTAGCACAGATAAAAGGGAGTCAGTTGCTTTGAACTAGGATGATTTTAAAAAGGCCTTGAGGGCATCTCAGATATCTTTAAAGCCCTTCTTCCCAGCACAGACCTAGAAACCTTCCAGGGCAGAATTGTTTCAGGAAAGGGATTCAGGGCATCATCCAGGCTCAACGTCCAGGCCCACCTTGGGGTTCTACTTTATGTTTTCTGGCAAAGGGCTCTGTGGCTGTAGCTCTTCAAGCAGGCCCAGGTACAGCTCATGTGAGTGACAGAACTTGGTTTCAATGTGATGCTGGTTTTACTTGCACACAAGGCACAAGTTTCGGGGTCATGGCAGCCTTTAAAATGAAGAAATTCCATCATTTTGCAACAACATGAATAGAGTTGAAGAACATTATGCTAAGTGAAAGAAGCCAAGCCAAACACTTGTGTGAAAAATCTGAAATAATTGAGTTCATAGAAGCAGAAGGTAGAATGGTGATTACCAGAGGCTCAGAGTGGTGGGAAAGGGGAAATGAAAGTCAACAGGTGGAATAAATTTGGGGCATTTGGGGGATCTATTATGCAATGTAGTGAATATAGCTTAATAGATTTCAAATGGTCTCACAACTACAGTAAATATTTGAGGTAATGGATATATTAATTTGCTTGATTCAATCACTCCTCATTGTATCAAAACTCAAAACACCACCGTGTACCCCATAAACATATACAAGTTGAGTACTCATTACACATTATCATAAACATCTTGAAGATGAGGACTGAATATAAAAAATGAAATTCATTCATGTGTCATGTGTACCTTACACATAGCCTGAAGGTAATTTTGTATGATACTTTGACTGTACCTGCATTTTTATTGTCACATAAAGTCAGCTGTGAAAAATTCCACATATTCCCTTATTGTTGGTACTCAAAAGGCTTTAGATTTAGGGTGGCATTGTTAGGGCTTAAAAATTTTGGGAGGGGGAGAGAGCTAGCTCAGTGGTAGAATGCTTTCCTACCATGTGCAAGGCCCTGGGTTCAATAAATAAAATATTCAGATTTAGGATTATGGATTTTCAACTTGTACAACTATAAATTGTCAATACATAATAAAAGCTTTGAAAAGAATATTAATTAGTATGGAATTGGTAATATGCACAATTCTCTAGGGGGAAAAGTTAGAATAACTATAAATTGGAGGAACAGATGAAAATCTTCTTAAATTTGTATCAGAAATAATAATTTCTATAATTTAAAAATATTTATTAAATGCCTTGTGGGAACATAGAAATATTCTGCCACCAACTCACATTCTTCCTTTTCAGAACTTTCAGTATTCACAAGGAGACATTTGGCATTCAATAATGTTTTTGATGGGCTGGGGTTGTGTCTCAGTGGTAGAGTGCTCACCTCATTCGTGCAAGGCCCTTGGTTCAATCCTCAGCTCCACATAAAAATAAATAAATAAAATAAAGATATTTTGTTGAACTACAAGTAAAAAATAAATATTTAAAAAAATGTTTTTGACAACTGGATAATGACAGTAGTCTTCTGCTACTGAAAAAAAATTAAAAATGCCAAATTAAAATAGAATTATGCAAGCATTTAACCTCTGACAACAATCAGGACACTCAGTTTATGCCTAACTCATACTGACTGACTGAAGGTCAACAGTGGGCTGACAACAGTGACACCCAATATCATGACTTTGGCAAAAACTATCACCCCTTCTTAACTTATATTACAGCAGTAAATATACTAAGATATAACCCTTTGAATTATTACAACTTCACAGCTTTGATTATATGATTTTTACAAAGTCCACTCCTAAATTTTTAAGAAGTTCCTGTTACTTTTATCACAATCTGTCCTTTCCTTTAAAAAAAATCTTGGGAAACACCCTTTTTAAGTTAAGGAAAACACAATTAAATGACCCAATGTACAAATTTCCTCTCTGCATATCTTCCCCAGCAATTTCAAATTAAAACCCTCTTAGTGGGCTGGGTTTGTAGCCCTGTGGTAGAGCAATTGCTTAGCATATACAAGACACTGGGCTCCATCCCCAACACAGCTAAATAAATAAGTAAGTAAATACAATATTTGAGAGATTAAAAAATTTTTAAACCCCTTCTCACACATGCTTTATCAACATTTGTCCAAACTTTCCATATGTAGTTTTCCTATGTGAAATCCTGTGATTGAAAACAGTTCCATATTTGTCTATGTTAGATTTCTCTTGCTGTGACAAAATACCTGAGATAATCAACTTTAAATAAGGAGACATGTGTTTTAACTCACAGGTTCAATCCATGATCAGTTGGCCCTATCACATTGAGCCTGTTGTGAGGCAAAACATTTTGGCAGAGAGCATGTGATGGAGCAAAACTGCTCACCTCCTGGAAGCCAGAAAACAGGAAAAGATCAGAGTCTCAATATCCCTTTCAAGGGCATATCCTCAATGACCTAACTTCCTTCCACTAGGCCCACCTCCTAAAGGTTCTTCCACCTCCCAACAGTACCATCAGCTGAGGACCAAGCCATCAACACATGAACTTCTGGGGATGTTTAAGATACAAACCGGGCTGGGCATGTGGCTCAAGCGGTAGCATGCTCGCCTGGCATACGTGCGGCCTGGGTTCGATCCTCAGCAAAGATGTTGTGTCCGCCGAAAACTAAAAAAAAATAAATACTAAAAAATTTTCTCTCTCTCTCTCTCTCTCTCTCTCAAAAAAAAAAAAAAAGATACAAACCACATTGGGCATGGTGGTAAGTGCATGTAATCCAAGTGATTACTCAGCTTTTTTGCTGATATGACCAAAAGAACTAACAATATTAGAAGAGGAAAATTTTACTTGGGGCTTAGAGTTTCAAAGGTTTTAGTACGTAGATGGCAACTCCAATCTTCAGAGCCTGAGGTAAGGCAGGACATCATGGCAGAAGAGTACGGTGGAGAAAAGTGGCTCAGGACACTGTACCAGAGAGCAGAGAGCAGGATATTCCCCCACCACTGTCAAAATATATATCCCAAAGGCATGTCCCCCAATGACCTACCTCTTCTAGCCATGCCCTACCTCCTACAGTTACTATGCAGTTAATCCCTATCCCTGAATAGGGATTAAAGCTCTCATAACTCAATCATTTTACCTCAAAACTTTCTATCGTTGTCTTAAACATGAGTTTTGGGGAACACCTAATATCTAAACTATAACACCGAGTGACTGTAGAGGCTGAGGTAGGAGGATTACACGTTAGAGGACAGCCTTGGGAAGTTAGCAAGACCCTTTCTCAAAATAAAAATGAAAAGAACTAGATATGGGGCTGGGGTTGTAGCTCAGTGGTAGAGCGCTTGCCTTGCATGCGTGAGACCCTGGGTTCAGTCCCTAGCACCACGTAAAAATAAACAAACAAAAGTAAAGATATTGTGCCCATCTACAACTAAAAAAAAAATTTAAAAGAGCTGGATATGTAGCTCAGTGGTAAGTACCCATGGGTTAAGTCCCAGTGTCAAAAGAAAAAAAAAAAAATATGAGCCATAACACCTTCCTGGATTTGGTTCCCTTTTAAATTTCAGTTGCATCTTTGAGGAGTTTGAGGATTTTCAACCTGAAATGCCCTTTCAAGGGCATTTAAATATCCCTTTATTTAACTTGAAAGTTAAAGTATTTAACTTGAAAGTTTGAGTTCAAGTTTGTAAAGAGTTTTTCTGCATCTCTCACCCCTTGTTTAATATCAATTTAGTTTTTAAATAAGAATATGTCTTCCTTCCTATTAGCAAGGCATTCAGTTCGGATTTTTTTCTGTGCTCTCTTCTTCCCTCCCAGGGGCTATTAGTGGTATCTATTCAGGCATAATTGGTTAGGACTGAGGAACAATAGCTAGTTTGAAAATGAAGCTAGCCCAGACATAGATCCTACATGTTACCTTAGTTTAAATAAGAACCATGTTCGAACCCCATGATTTCAAAATGTTTTCAATCACCTAATCCATTAAAATCTTAGCATGTGTACTAATATTCATTTATTTGTATTTATATTTATAAATAATAAAGTTAATTTATAAATGTACATTAATATTTTATACATTCACAAATATGTGCATGTTTATATATGAGTTGTACTATACTAAATATTATGTACATTATAAAACACAAAATAAAAATGGTCAAAGGATGATATAAAATGTAAATATGCAAAGTTTTATTGTGAACCTTTGAGTATCCTAGTGGACTACCTTTTAAATCCTACTTTGTAAACTCCTTTTCTAACCAACAATTAACCAACATAAGAATTATTCTCTCTTGGTGAACATAATATTTCTTTTCTTTCTATTAACATAATTTATGGCTAGAGCAAAACAAAGGAAACAAGCAGGGTGGGGGGGAATTAGATAACATAAAGATATAGGGAAGACCAGTAGCATAGAACAAGACCCAGAGGGAGAGAAGAGAGATGGGAAAGGGGAGGAAATGCAGAGTAAATTTTTAAAAAATTTTGCCATGTGCATATGAAAATATACCACAAGGAATTTCACCTTTATGTAAAACTAGAAAGAACCAATCAAAAATAAATAAATCAGATGGGTGCAGTTGCACTCACATATGATCCCAGTGACTCGGGAGGCTGAGGCAGAAGGATTGAGAGTTCAAATTCCTGCCTCAGCAACTTAGGGAGGCACTTAGCAACTCAGGGACACCCTGTCTCTAAATAAAAATTTTTAAAAAAGGTCTGGGGATATGGCTCAGTGATTAAGCATCCCTGGGTTCACTGTCCAATACCAAATAGATGGATGGATGGATAGATGATAGATAGATAGATAGATAGAATCAATTGATGAGCAAAAGGAAGAGCAGTAGAAGAGAGGAATGAGAATAGGAAGAGGGAAGAGGGGCAGGAGAAAGGGGAAAACATGAACTGAAATTGAGTTCCATGCATGTACAAATTTGTCAAGATGAATCCAACTACTATGTATAACTATAATGCTCTAACTTAAAAAAGAAAAGAAAAAGAAGGATAAAATAGCGTTTGTGCTCCAGCAATAGGGTCAACCTTATGACCTGATTAAAGGTCTGATAAAAAGCTGAAAAATTAAAAAGTTCTTATAAATTTTCCTGTTTTACCTACTATTTATCAGTGCAACAAGAATATGTGGAGGAGGGGCTGGAGTTGCACCTCAGTAGTAGAGTACTTGCCTCACATATGTAAGGCCCTGGATTTGATCCTTAGCACCACATTTAAAAAAAATAAACAAATAAAAATAAAGATATTGTGTCAATCTATAACTAAAAAGACATTTTCAAAAAATAGAATATGTGGAGGGGCTGGGGATATAGTTCAATTGGTAGTGTGCTTGCCTTGCACGCACAAAGCCCTGAGTTCAATCCCCAGCACCACACACACACACACACACACACACACACAAATGTGTAAATAAGCACCATATACTGCTGAAAATCTACTTGTGTGTCATCAGTCTTAATATAAAATAGTAACTACTTTCTTAGCACAGCAATTGAAGCAAAATTCATGTGTTAATAATTTTTCTTGGTATTTACAAGTATATAAAATTGTGAAAGATTACATGATAAATGTGAAATAAAGTATATTTATTGGCAAGTTTATTAGTTATTTTCTTAAAGCAAATGTAGGAATACTATTACAGAGTGACTAGGTTTAGAGTCTGTTTTTTTTTTCCATATAGGATTCCATGTCATCCTGAAATAGAATGCTAGCTAATAAAATGTTACACCTGGATTAACATATGAGGTAAGTTCTCATATTATTTCAAAAACCAATTTGGTCTTAAATGTATCCATTTTCTAAAACAACAAGCCTCACTATGAAATATGGTCTTCATAGTCACACAAGATTTTATGGTTGTGCATGCTAGTTAGTTTAAAACAAAAGCCCAAATCCTGTATGGTTAAACTGAAGGACTTTGTAAGCAATTCTCAGGCAACTGAAAATTGAGTTGATGTTTCATTTTGATGAGCTGGGGCTCTAATCATTTGAACACGATTTGAGTTAAAGTTGCTTTCTGTTCTTTTCCAGTATATTTTGTACCAGTGAAAATTAAGTCCAGTGACACATTCTGTAGAGTTAGGAGATTACTCATTTTTTCCTAGCCTATATTCTGCTGAGTAAATTAAGTTCAAGATGATTTATAGGGCTAGGGATATAGCTCAGTGGAGGAATTCATGCTTAGCCCACAGAGGCCCAGGGTTGAATCCCAGCATTAAAAAAAGGATAATTTATAAACTGTTGTTGACCTTCAGGAATTATTTCATTTCATTCTACAATCTCTTTTTTTTAATTTTTTTTATTGGTTGTTCAAAACATTATAAAGCTCTTGACATATCATATTTCATACATTAGATTCAAGTTGGTTATGAACTCCCAATTTTACCCCAAAATCTCTTGCCTCTCCTCATCATATGGGTCTGGACATAATCTAGGACTTTATTATTATTATTAGGACTTGGGACAAGGAAATTGGTCATAACAAATGAAATAAATTGGATTTATATTCTTGGTAATCCCCATGCATACACTAATTGTAAAACACTGGATCAAATAACCTATAGGACTGATCAGAACCTACTTTAAAATTGGTGAAAAATGATGCAGTTTTCCTGAACAGTTAAAGTTGGAGGGGGATAATTGTCCAGAAAATTTTGAAAACCACTGTTTCCTGCCTGAAAAAAGGAAAGATAGGGCTAATGGTAAAAGAAAAATTATATATAAATTGGACATCATCAAAATTAAGGACTTCTGGGGAATGGGGATCAGAGGTAAAATGTTTACCTCACATGTGCGAAGCCCAGGGTTCAATCACCAGCCCTGGAAGAAAAAAAGTAAGAACTTTTGCTCTTCAAAAGACATTGCCAAGAGAATGAAAGGACAAGCCACAGAAAGGGGTGAAATGTTTTAAAAGCACATATCTGATAAGGGATTTCTATTTGGAATATAATGAACAATCAAAACTTAGTAATAGAGAAAGTGGCATCCAGTGGGTACAGATTTCTTTTGGGGATGAAAAAATCCTTTTGGAATTAAAGGTAATGTTTTCAAAACTGTGAATATGCTGTAACTTATAAAAATGTATACTTTAAATGGATAATTTGACAATATCAATTTTTGCCTATCAAAGAACATTTTTACAATGGCTTTATTGCCAAAAGCAATCTATAGACTGAATGCAATCCCCATCAAAAATACCAATGAAATTCCCCACAGAGCTAGGAAAAGCAGCTTTTTAGGAAAAAAAATAGCAGTTTTAGGAAAAAACTCAAGGAGGATTAAAAGACCCCAAATAGCCAAAGCAATTCTGAGCAATAAGAACAAGGCTGGAGGCATCACAATACACAACTTCAAGTTATATTCCAGAACTTTAGTAATAAAAAAAACATGTTATTGGCATAAATACTGGCTTGAGGATCAGTGAAATAGAATAGAAAACAAAGAAGCAAATTCATTCAGATATAGTTATCTTGTCCTTGATAAAGATGCCAGAAACATACATTGGAGAAAAGACAGCCTTTTAAACAAATGGTGGAAAAACTGAATATACATGGATGGATGAAAATAAATTGTTGTCACCCTGCACAAAGTCCACACAAAGTGGACCAAAGACATAGGAATTAGACCAGAAACTTTGCAACTGATAGAAGAAACCAACACTCCAATATATAGGTGCTGGCAACAACTTCCTCTCTGGGAACCTTTGTAGGAGAATTACATGCAAATTACATGCAAACCATAGCATATGGTTAATATTCACTAATTCTGCTTCTTATTACCCCTCCACCAAGAAGTAACCTAGATAACAAGTTTCAATATATCACTGCTTAATTTAAGGATCATGGTCTCACACGTGATACATGTAAGGAGAGATAATGAACACGTATTTCCTTCATTTTTTATACACATTTCCTGGTATATGAGTAATGGCTCCTCTAGGATACATATCCACATTTGCACCATTATGTGGCTCACTATCTGCTCCCTCAAAACATTGCTGCCTGTCCTGCTTGCCCATAAATATACGTGTCAACTCACAGAAATAGCTGCTATTCAGTGATGCGTAACAAAAGAAAAACTTGGAAGGTCAGGAAAATTCTTCCTTCCCTGAGGATCTTATAAGCTAATTAGCACATATTTATCAAACATTTACTGTATGTGAGGCTTAAAAAATGGGACATAGGGATGAATAAGTCTCACTCTGTCCTCAAGAAGCTCGGTATAACAGAATGAAATGTATTAGAACCTTTTTCTTAGTGACTTTCTAGAGGTAAATTGCAATCCTTTATTTGGCTCCATACAGTGTAATCTTACACTAATTACTAAAACAGTAGAATGTGAAGGGGACCTCTCCGGAGCAGATGTAAGTTGACAAGTTCAATCCTTTCATCATCATGGCTATGAGAACTAAGAACTACAAGTAACTAACAGCATGTTTTGTTTTTTTTTTTCTGTTATGTCCAGCTCAGATTCTAATGCCTGATGATAATCAATTTCCCCAGAGTAATGATGCCAGATTGGGCAGTAATCCTTTCTAAGATTATATAGGAATATATATCTATATTAATGCATACAGATATATACAGTATCAACTCCAAACAGCTGCTTATTCGTGAATATGTTTCACATCAATAGAGTGTCATAGGTACATTTACATAAAGCTTCATGTCATTTGTTTGAAATTCACTTATATCTAAATGAACTGGAGAATGTATTCTCTAGTGATTTCAGGCTAAATACTATTGTCAATTTATTCTGTCTTGAGAGAAGGACATTTATTTGTTTATTTTATGGTTTTATTTTTCCAGATCTAGATAGAATATTTGAAACAGGAAATGGCTTAGTGAATAAACATAAGTCCATACATCTATGTGTCTGCATTTAATGCATAAACATCTCAATATATACTAAATCAATGAATGGCAAGAGTGTAAACTGCTTATGTCACTGGTGCTTAGAATTCAGGATTTTATTCTGAGTTGCTATAGGCTCCAGCAGCCTCTTCATTTCTCATTCTGCAGATATTGCACAGAACATGCAGATGCATGCCAGATGTAAAGTCCTATCCAGTGGTGTGTGACTGATATCCACCCTTCTGCTCCATTCCCAGTTCAAGAGCCCCTATGTTCTAAGGTGACTGAAGCTGGCCCAGGCTGTTGCCATGGAAACCATTACAGTAAGGGAGGTGAGAGAATGGAGAAGAGGCAGAAAGTGCACTAAAGAGAAACAAAATGTCTATTCCTCTTCAGTTGTATTATGTGCAGATTCTAAATCCCAGCGTGGCTTATAGTAGGCCTTCAATACATGTTGGAAAACCAAATGAATGCACCTTCAGAAATCACCCTGAGGGGCTTCCTCCATCATAATAAATAGACTTTTCCAGTATCAATGACTCAGATGTCCTATATTCACACAGTAACCAAGTTTTCCCAAACATGATTAATTACAAATATTCTCTCTCATTATCCTTCTAAACCACCAGAATGTCCCAGAAATTTCAAGTTTTTTAACATACAAGTTATATTTCCTGAATTACATCTGCCATCATTTATTAGATTTTAGGAATTGATTGAGAGTTTTGAAGATATAATCACTATATACTACTAAAGTAGTATTCAACAAATGGGGAAAATTCCAAAGATAGGCAATAGGAAGAATGATAAGACTGTTTAAAACCTTTGGTAGGCCACACTTTGCACTGAGACTATGGTTTAATGCTCTGACTTCCACATGGTAAGCATGGTTTGAAACACTTAAATTATAAAGCATCAACTGGTGTTTCATTGAAATGATTTATACTGTATTTCACCACATAATTGTCACAAATTCTATGCCAAAATTTTTGCAAAAATAGCAGATTATGACTATTATGTGAAGCTTTTTAAAACAATTTGCTGGTATTACTTAAAAATCACTTATCACTAAACTGTTTCATGCAATATCAGAATGCACAGACTATTCATGAATATACATTAATATGGTGGTGATGATTATATGGCAAACTACAGTATTTTAATTAAAAAATGGTTTATTCATTTATTTTGAAGAGGTAGAAAACCATGTGTAAAAAGGTTCAAGGCTTTACTTATCCAAGTGTTTTTTTAATGTGTGTGTATGTTAATATCAACTGTGTAAATTGCACATATTAATTTTATTGGATCATCAATGAATTTATGTATAGAAAAGTTTTCTTAGAGTAGAAATCTGATGCTTTTCAAGTGGTTAAAAATTTAAGTTTCTTCTAAATGTAATCTTTTAAGATTTTATGGTCTTATTTTTTTCATGAAAAGTTAATAAGAAGAAATGGTTATAAATAATGTGCAAATTCAGCATAGGGTCTACCTAAAAACACTGTGCTGAATTTGCACATTATTTATAACCATTTCATCTTTTTGCTTTTTAAATTTGCTTTGTTTATGATCTATATAAATATACTTTATAATTATAAATATAATTTTGCTGTTATTATTTTAGAATGTCTTATGCACAGTTACAAGATAAGTTTTCTTAAGTCTGGGATATTCTTCATATCAGTGTGCATTCAATATTGAAAGAGTCCTATAACTCTTGCCTTCTGCTCATGCGACTCTATTGGTATTTCCTTTTCCCAAGGATATGGGCTGTTTCTGATATCTGTGCCTCAGCAAGAGTGGATAAAAGCCATGTTGAAATGGATAAACCACACAAGTAAGAGCTATAGATGTGGACTACAGGCCACTGAAGAAGAACTGAGCTTGCTGAGGATCTATGCTATACTTTGGAAATATCTGAGATGTTAAGAGGTGAGTACTTTGGTGGTTGGCATGTGTGTGTGTGTGTGTGTGTGTGTGTGTGTGTGTGTGTGTTGGAAAGGGTAGACTATAGTGAGAAGATGATCTGTATAATATAATAAGCTTATAAGAAATGTAAGCTTTTGGAATTCCAGAAAGGTTCAACTATCAAATAGTAGTGAAAATCAGAAGAAAGAGCTAATAAAATTATCTTCTTAGGTTGAAAACAGGCTTTTGAAATCAGCATAGAAGGGGGTGATTGCAAAAGAACTATCATTATTGAGTTTATTGATCAAATACCAAAACTTTATGTTATCCCATTTAATACAGCAATCTTGTGAGGTAGGAATTATCTCCATTTTATACATAGAAAACCATCTTCAATACCTTTATGGCATTTGCCAGTAAACAGATGGTTCTGGAGACTATATGCTAAGTGAAATAATCCAGTCCCCAAAAGCCAAAGGTTGAATATTTTCTCTGATATGTGGAAGCTAACCTACAATAAGAGGAAGAGGGGGAAGAGTAGAAGTTTAGTAGATTAGACAATGGAAAATGGAGGGAAGGGAGAGGGAATAGGAAAAGGAAAGACAGTGGAATGAATCTGACATACTTTTCCTCCATATATATATATATATGAATGAATACATCACAGTGAATCCCATAATCATGTATGTCCACAAGAATGGGATCCTAACTAGAATAAGATATATTTCATGCTTGTATAATTATATCAAAGTGGATTCTACTGTATGTAAAACTAAAAAGAACCAATAAATAATATCCATTAAATGCGAAAAATAAAAAATCTTGAACTTGTTATTTGAATTGCATAAGACCATATAGCTATTAAGTTCATTGTACTTTAGATCCATGTCTCTCTGGATTCTAACACTTATTGAAAATAATATTCAAGAGAAAATTATGACTATATGTCTTATTATTTTTATGAAGATTTGTGCTTTTACTTCTTTTTAATTTTTCAGAGAAAGTTTTTCCCTGTGGTATGTTCAGAAAATGCATCAGCAACCCCAGTATCTACAACTTGAAAAAAAAAAGTACTGGAAAAAAATCCCTCCTCAAATGAAAAAAGTATCCGTCTAGCTGGAGGTGTGGTTCAGCATTTGCCTGGCCATGCAAAAGACCCTGGTTTCAATCTCTAGCATGGCAAAAATCAATAAATAAAAGGGCCATGTATGGTGGTACATGCCTATAATGCCAACTACTTGGGAAGCTGAGGCAGGATGATCACAAGTTGGAGGCCAGCAAAGGTCTCAAAATACTACATGCTTACATACATAAATACATACTTGCATTCATATATACATATATGGTTCTAACATTTTCCTTTTTTCTTCTTCATTTTTCTATACATTACATGAATGGAAATCAGATTTTCCAGAGAAGGTATATAATTTGTAAGTGTAGAAATAAGTCTTCAATTTTAAGATGTTTATTTAGCTAAAAGCAGCAATGCAAAATTTATTCTTACTGACACTTGACTAATATTACGTATTTTTGATAATTGGTTAGTCTAAGGAATTAAAGCCTCTTTTTTTAAAATTTAGAAGTGTTTAGGTAGTTTTGTTACTGGGATGGGGCCTTCTGGGAAACTGAGGCGTGTGATGACCCCCCCCCCTTCAAACCCCAGTTCTTATGATCAAGTCAGAAAGATATCAGACATAGCACTCAGAGAAACAGGCAATTAATTTATCTGAAGGGATGGGAAAAAGGAAAAGGGGACACTCTCAAGAGAGTGGGTCCTCTCAGAGAGGAAAAGGGCACTGTTCCTCTTCTGCATTCCAGTTTTATTGAGGATCCCAGAGTGTTTCCAGAGGGTCCCACCCAGGTCCATCTTTTGACTTTTTTAAAAAATAACATTATTTGATTGATTGATTGATTGATATGTGGTGCTGAGGATTGAACCCAGTGCCTCATACATATTAATATTAGGCAAGTGCTATACCACTGAGCCACAAACCAATCCCGATTTCTTGATTTGACTGATAGCAGGATGACTTCAGACTTTCAAGTCCCCAATGTCATGATAACTCTAGGTCATTTTGGCCCATACTGACTGGTTCTAATTGAATTCTTATCCATAAATTTTTGGAGATTTTTGGTTAGTAGAAATAATTGATATCTCCCTGAGTTTCAGGATCTTATCTATAAAAAGGGTCACAAAATTCTCCCCCTTCAGCATAACTTGAGTTCTTTTATCAACATGATTTCAAGCCTGCATTTCTCCAGAAGATAACAGGTAGCTTGCTGAGGAATAGGACATATCCTGTCTACTTAAGCCAGGCAGGACTGCAGGTAAATTGTATCTTAGAAAATAAAGCATGTAGGAATCAGCACAGTGGGCCCATTTTATAGAATTATTTCCTTAAGCTCATATTATCACTACTTGTATCTGTCTGTCCACAATCAGTTTCAAGAAAAGTTAAGATATAAGTCTGTTTTTATCAAGTTGCAACCCTAAGATTTAGAACTTCTTCTGATGACATTTATTAACTTATTTTGTAGTACCAGGATTTGAACCCAGGGGTGCTCAACCACTGATTCACATCCCCAGCCCATTTATTTATTTATTTTTTATTTTAAGAAAGGATATCAGAATAGTTATATAACCTAAAGAAAGGGTTGCTTAGGGCCTCACTAAGTTGCTGAGGCTGGCTTGATCTTGTGATCCTCCTGCTTCAGCCTCCTGAGCCACTAGGATTACAAGCATGCACCACTGCATGCAGTACACTTATTAACTTCTTTTTTTTTTCAGGTTTAGAAAGTTTATTATTCAACTTTCTCAAGACATAGAAAAAAAATTAAATTTAAGTTATACAAATCATTTTATTATTTTTTTTTAATTTTTTATTGTTGGTTGTTCAAAACATTACAAATTTCTTGACATATCATATTCCACACTTTGATTCAAGTGGGTTATGAACTCCCACCTTCACCCCATACACAGATTGCAGAATCACATCAGTTACACATCCATTGATTTATATATTGCCATACTAGTGTCTGTTGTGCTCCGCTGCCTTTCCCATCCTCCACCTCCCCCCTCCCCACCTCTCCCCTCCCCTCCCCTCCTCTCTCTCTACCCCCTCCACTGTATAACCCTGAGGGTCTCCTTCCATTTCCATGCAATTTCCCTTCTCTCTCCCTTTCCCTCCCACCTCTCATCCCTGTTAAATGTTAATCTTCTTCTCCTGCTCTTCGTCCCTACTCTGATCTTAGTTACTCTCCTTATATCAAGGAAGACATTTGGCATTTGTTTTTTAGGGATTGGCTAGCTTCACTTAGCATAATCTGCTCTAATGCCATCCATTTCCCTGCAAATTCTATGATTTTGTCATTTTTTAATGCAGAGTAATACTCCATTGTGTATAAATGCCACATTTTTTTAATCCATTCGTCTATTGAAGGGCATCTAGGTTGGTTCCACAGTCTTGCTATTCTGAATTGTGCTGCTATGAACATCGATGTAGCAGTGTCCCTGTAGCATGCTCTTTTTAGGTCTTTAGGGAATAGACCGAGAAGGGTAATAGCTGGGTCAAATGGTGGCTCCATTCCCAGCTTTCCAAGAAATCTCCATACTGCTTTCCAAATTGGCTGCACCAATCTGCAGTCCCACCAGCAATATACAAGTGTACCCTTTTCCCCACATCCTCGCCAGCACTTGTTGTTCTTTGACTTCCTAATGGCTGCCAATCTTACTGGAGTGAGATGGTATCTTAGGGTGGTTTTGATTTGCATTTCTCTGACAGCTAGAGATGTTGAGCATTTTTTCATGTACTTGTTGATTGATTGTATGTCCTCCTCGGAGAAATGTCTGTTCAGGTCCTTGGCCCATTTGTTGATTGGGTTGTTTGTTCTCTTATTGTCTAATTTTTTGAGTTCTTTGTATACTCTGGATATTAGGGCTCTATCTGAAGTGTGAGGACTAAAGATTTGTTCCAAGGGTGTAGGCTCCCTATTTACCTCTCTTATTGTTTCTTTTGCTGAGAAAAAACTTTTTAGTTTGAGTAAGTCCCATTTGTTGATTCTAGTTATTAACTTTTGTGCTATGGGTGTCCTATTGAGGAATTTGGAGCCAGACCCCACCGAATGTAGATCGTAGCCAACTTTTTCTTCTATCAGACGGCGTGTCTCTGATTTGATATCAAGCTCCTTGATCCATTTTGAATTCACTTTTGTGCATGGCGAGAGAAAGGGATTCAGATTCATTTTGTTGCATATGGATTTCCAGTTTTCCCAGCACCATTTTTTGAAGATGCTATCCTTCCTCCATTGCATGCTTTTAGCCCCTTTATCAAATATAAGGTAGTTGTAGTTTTGTGGATTGGTTTCTGTGTCCTCTATTCTGTACCATTGGTCCACCCGCCTGTTTGGTACCAGTACCATGCTGTTTTTGTTACTATTGCTCTGTAGTATAGTTTGAAGTCTGGTATCGCTATACCACCTGATTCACACATCCTGCTTAGCATTGTTTTTGCTATTCTGGGTCTTTTATTTTTCCATATGAATTTCATGATTGCTTTCTCTATTTCTACAAGAAATGCCGTTGGGATTTTGATTGGCATTGCATTAAACCTATAGAGAACTTTTGGTAATATCGCCATTTTGATGATGTTAGTTCTGCCTATCCATGAACAGGGTATATTTTTCCATCTTCTAAGATCTTCTTCTATTTCTCTCTTTAGGGTTCTGTAGTTTTCATTGTATAAGTCTTTCACCTCTTTTGTTAGGTTGATTCCCAAGTATTTTATTTTTTTTGAAGATATTGTGAATGGAGTGGTTGTCCTCATTTCCATTTTAGAGGATTTGTCGCTGATATACAGGAATGCCTTTGATTTATGCGTGTTGATTTTATATCCTGCCACTTTGCTGAATTCATTTATTAGCTCTAATAGTTTCTTTGTAGAGCCTTTTGGGTCTGCTAGGTATAGAATCATATCATCTGCAAATAGTGATAATTTAAGTTCTTCTTTTCCTATTTTTATGCCTTTAATTTCTTTCGTCTGTCTAATTGCTCTGGCCAGTGTTTCGAGAACTATGTTGAACAGAAGTGGTGAAAGAGGGCATCCCTGTCTTGTTCCAGATTTTAGAGGGAATGCCTTCAGTTTTTCTCCATTCAGAATGATGCTAGCCTGAGGCTTAGCATAGATTGCTTTTACAATATTGAGGTATGTTCCTCTTATCCCTAGTTTTTCTAGAGTTTTGAACATAAAGGGATGCTGTACTTTGTCGAATGCTTTTTCCGCATCTATCGAGATGATCATGTGGTTCTTATTTTTAAGTCTATTGATGTGGTGAATAACATTTATTGATTTCCGTATATTGAACCAGCCTTGCATCCCAGGGATGAATCCTACTTGATCATGGTGCACAATTTTTTTGATATGTTTTTGTATCCGATTCGCCAGAATTTTATTGAGGATTTTTGCATCTAGGTTCATTAGAGATATTGGTCTGTAGTTTTCTTTCTTTGAAGTGTCTTTGTCTGGTTTAGGTATCAGGGTGATGTTGGCCTCATAGAATGAATTTGGAAGTTCTCCCTCTTTTTCTATTTCCTGAAGTAGCTTGAAAAGTATTGGTATTAGTTCTTCTTTAAAGGTTTTGTAAAATTCTGCTGTATACCCATCCGGTCCTGGGCTTTTCTTAGTTGGTAGTCTTTTGATGGTTTCTTCTATTTCCTCAATTGATATTGGTCTGTTTAGGTTGTCTATATCTTCCTGACTCAATCTGGGCAGATCATATGACTTAAGAAATTTATCTATGCCTTCACTATCTTCTAATTTATTGGAGTATAAGGATTCAAAATAGTTTTTGATTATCTTCTGTATTTCTGAAGTGTCTGTTGTGATATTGCCTTTTTCATCCCGTATGCTAGTAATTTGAGTTTTCTCTCTTCTTCTCTTCGCTAGCATTGCTAAGGGTCTGTCGATTTTGTTTATTTTTTTAAAGAACCAACTTTTAGTTTTGTCAATTTTTTCAATTGTTTCTTTTGTTTCGATTTCATTAATTTCAGCTCTGATTTTAATTATTTCTTGACTTCTACTTCTTTTGCTGTTGTTTTGCTCTTCTTTTTCAAGGATTTTGAGATGAAGTATGAGATCATTTATTTGTTGTTTTTTTCTTTTTTTAAGGAATGAACTCCAAGCAATGAATTTTCCTCTTAGAACTGCTTTCAATGTGTCCCATAGATTCCGGTATGTTGTGTCTGCGTTTTCATTTATCTCTAAGAATTTTTTAATTTCCTCCTTGATGTCTTCTATAACCCATTGATCATTCAGTAACCTATTGTTCATTCTCCAAGTGATGTATGCTTTTTCCTTCCTTCTTTTATCGTTCATTTTCAGTTTCATTCCATTATGATCAGATAAGATGCATGGTATTATCTCTACTCCTTTATATTGTCTAAGAGTTGCCCTGTGACATAATATATGATCTATTTTTGAGAAGGATCCATGTGCTGCTGAGAAAAAAGTGTAACTGCTTGATGTTGGGTGGTATACTCTATATATGTCAATTAAGTCTAGGTTATTAATTGTGTTATTGAGTTCTATAGTTTCCTTATTCAACTTTTGTTTGGAAGATCTGTCCAGTGGCGAGAGAGGTGTGTTGAAGTCTCCCATGATTATGGTATGGTGGTCTATTAGACTCTTGAACTTGAGAAGAGTTTGTTTGACGAACATAGCTGCACCATTGTTTGGGGCATAAATATTTATGATTGTTATGTCTTGTTGGTGTATGGTTCCCTTAAGCAGTATGTAGTGTCCCTCTTTATCCCTTTTGATTAACTTTGGCTTGAAATCTATTTTATTTGATATGAGTATGGACACTCGTGCTTGTTTCCGAAGTCCATATGAGTGATATGATTTTTCCCAACCTTTCACCTTCAGCCTATGTATGTCTTTTCCTATCAAATGCGTCTCCTGTAGGCAGGATATTGTTGGGTCTTGTTTTGTGATCCATTCTACTAGCCTGTGTCTCTTAATTGGTGAGTTTAAGCCATTAACATTTAGGGTTATTATTGAGATTTGGGTTGTTCTTCCAGCCATATTTGTTTATTTCTGTTACTAAACATGGTTTGTTTTCCTCTTTGATTATTTCCCCCCCTTTACTGTCCTACCTCCCACTGTTGGTTTTCATTGTTATTTTCTATTTCCTCTTCCTGTAATGTTTTGCCGAGGATGTTTTGAAGAGATGGTTTTCTAGCTGCAAATTCTTTTAACTTTTGTTTATCGTGGAAGGTTTTAATTTCATCTTCCATCCTGAAGCTTAATTTCGCTGGATACACAATTCTTGGTTGGAACCCATTTTCTTCCAGTGTTTGAAATATGTTATTCCAGGATCTTCTAGCTTTCAGAGTCTGTGTTGAAAGATCAGCTGTTATCCTGATTTGCTTACCCCTAAATGTAATCTGCTTCCTTTCTCTTGTAGCTTTTAAAATTCTCTCCTTATTCTGTATGTTGGGCATCTTCATTATAATGTGTCTAGGTGTGGATCTCTTATGATTTTGCACATTCGGCGTCCTGTAGGCTCCTAGGATTTGGGATTCTGTCTCATTCAAGTCTGGGAATTTTTCTTGTATTATTTCATTGAATAGACTGCTCATTCCTTTGGTTTGGAGCTCTGTACCTTCCTGTATCCCAATGACTCTTAAGTTTGGTCTCTTAATGTTATCCCATATTTCTTGGATGTTCTGCTCATGGTTTCTTAACAGTCTTGCTGAGCTGTCTATGTTCTTTTCCAGTTGAAATACTTTGTCTTCATTGTCTGATGTTCTATCTTCTAAGTGTTCTACTCTGCTGGTAGTATTCTCCATTGAGTTTTTAAGTTGGTTTATTGCTTCCTGCATTTCTAGGATATCTGTTTATTTGTTTTTTATAACCTCTATCTCCCTGTATAGTTGATCCTTTGCTTCCTGGATTTGTTTGTGTAATTCCTTGTCGAAGTGATCTTTCATTGTCTGATTTTGCTGTCTAATTTCTTCCTTGATACTCCAGATCATCTGAAGCATGTATATCCTGAATTCTTTATCTGACATTCCATCTGCTGCAGCTGTTACCTCTTCTAAAGTTGCATTGACCTGCATTGCTTGTGGTCCTTTCTTTCCTTGTCTTTTCATACTGCTTGCGGATCTTTCCTGCAGGCGCGGGCGGCGGCTCTGCTCTCTCCTTATTCCAATTGGGGTGTCGTGGCTACCACGCCGGCAAGTCACTGGGCCTGTTCTGGGCGCTGGCGGCGGCTCTGTTCTGCCCCTACTCCAATTGGGGTGACGAGTGTACCACTCCGGCAGGCCACCGGGCCTGATCCGCCGGTAGGTTGCAGGTTTGCCTACCCTGCAGGCGCGGGCGGGGGCTCTACTCTGCCCCTACTCCAAATGGGGTGACGTGTCTGTCGTACCGGCAGGCCACTGGGCCTGTCCCGCTGGTCGGTCGCAGATCTGCCCACCTTTCGGGCACGGGTGGCGACTCTGCTCTGCCCCTACTCCAATTAGGGTGGTGTGTGTACCACGCCAGCAGGCTCCTGGGCCTGATCTGCTGGTCTGTCACAGGTCTGCCTACCTTGGAGGAGCGGGTGGCGGATCTGCCCTGTCCCTCCTACCATGCCTGCGGACCCCTGGGCCTGATCTGCAGGTTTGTCACAGGTCTGCTCACCCTGCGGGCACGGGTGGCGGTTCTGCTCCGCCCCCACTCCAATTGGAGTCACGTGGCCACCACACCGGCAAGGCCTGATCCGGGCGTGGGAGAAGGATCTGCTCTGCCCCTACTCCAGTTGGGGTGACGTGTGTACCACACTGGCAGGCCACTGGGCCTGACCCGCCAGTCTGTGACAGGTCTGTTTACCTTGCAAGCGCGGGCGGCGGCTCTTCCCTGCCCCTCCTACCACGCCCATGTACCACTGGGTCGCGGGTCTGCCCACCTTGCGGTGCGGGTGGCGGCTCCGCTCCGCCCCCTCTCCAATTGGAGTCACGCGGTCACCACACTGGCGAGCCACTGGGCCTGCTCTGGGCGCTGGCGGCGGCCCGGCTCCTCCCCTCTGGCTCGACGACAAATTGAGGAGACTCGGGTGTCTGTGCCTCACCCCCCCTACCAGGAGACCAACTGTTTCTGTCGCCGCTGGTATTGATGAAGTTCTCTCCTCCGCCGCTTTCTGATGACATCGGATCTCTGCCTTGTTGGTATCCTATGCGAATGGCAGCATTTCGTTCCCCTTGCCGGGCAACCAAAGCAACGGGTGAGTCCTGACCGGCCCTCAGCAGGACCCGGACCGAGAAGCAGTTTCTGTGGGCTCCTAGCCCTGGGCCAGGGCAGTTCCGGGAGCCGGAACTCGGCCGCTCCGTGCTCGGTGTAATCTCCGATAAGAGTTTGCTCCAAGAAGCAGTCCCCGCGGGCTCAGTTCCGGGAGCCGGAATTCAGCCGTTTAGTGCTTGGTGTATGCTCTGATAGGAGCAGGGTCCAAGAAGCAGCCTCCGCAGGCTCCCCAGCCCTGGGCCAGGGCGGTTCCGGGAGCCGGAACTCGGCCGCCCCGCACTCGGTGTTCGTTCCGATAAGATCAGGTTCTAAGAAGCCCCCAGGCACTGAACCCTAGCAATCTGTCTGTAAGCCGCAGGCGAATGGCAGCCTGAAATTACCTGTTCTATGGCTGAATGAGCTGCGGTCAGTCGAAAACAGGGATGGTGACGTCAGCTTTCCAACATGGTGGCTGCTGGCCTCCTCTGTGGTCTGACCGGTGTGGAGAACCGAGATGGACCGCTTCCTTCCCCCGTCTCAAACCCAGAATTCAGCCCCGAGTATGGTGCTTGCACGGCTGGCAGAAACTGCAGTGCTGTATCCCTGCGTCGCTATCTCCTCGTTTCCCAGCACGAGCTGCAGACTCTAGCCGCGGGGCGATTTGCTGAATAAGCAGTGTTACCCTCCGTGCGACAAACCTCTCGCGTTTGAGTCCCTGTAGCTGATCCTCGTGCGATGGAAATCCTTCCTCCAGGTTCCGGAGCACCCCACTATTGCTGGAAATTCCTAACAAGATAGCTTTTAGCCGTCCTGACTTGTCATACTCCCACACAGTGAAGCAGCACACGGGGGCAATGCACTCCCCTCGCCGCCATCTTCCTCTCCCACTTATTAACTTCTAATCACATATTTAATAATATTTTTCAGAGTTCATTAAGCATGCCATAACTATAGGCACTTGCAAAACATTGACAAGAGCCCTTAATATGAAGTCAGATAATCTTAGTTGGAATTGAAGTTTGTCTCTTACTTAGTGACTATATATTTGGGCAAATGTTTTACTTTCTCTGAGCCTCAGTTCTCTCACACATAATATGAGAATAATCCTTATCTTCTATGAGTTTTGAGAATAACCTGACATAATAAATATGAAAGTACTTTGTAGACAATTTCCATAGTAATGTGAGGAGACCAGAAGTAAAATAAACAAAATGTGAATATGCTAGTAGCTGTGCCAGTTTGGTAACTTATTTTCTCTTTGTTTCTCCCAGCAAGACCAAGGCCTGCATATCTCTAAGAAACAGTAATGCCCTCCCACCTTGAGCCACATTTCCTGGTTCTCCTACCTTTTGCCTCAGGAGCAATGCAGTAGTTGACAACATACTGACAAAAAGGTAAAAGTATATGAAAGACTTGCCTTCTAGGTCATTCACTTTGAGTAAAGTGATTCCTCCTCAATGATAAGCCTAATAAACACTTCATATCAATATCCTGGTTCAGGACAGTGAAGGAAAAGTTAAGGCAGAATGGTAATTTCATAACAAAGCCCAACAGAACCATGGAGTTAAGGCATTGTAGTAGAGTAGGAAAGGCACTGAACTGGAAGAAAGGGAACTGCCGCAGTCTGGCTGGGCACAATTCAGGAGCCACTTGTCAAAAGAAACGAACTTTATTTTTACAACACACACACCAAACCACACAGCTCCTCAGGAAAAACCTTCAGAGCCCAACTGCCACCACCGGCTTCCCACAAGCCTCTCCACCTCCCCCACTCCTCCTGCTCTTGAGGCCGATCGGCTGGGTTGCATGGGCGGAGCCAAAAAAAAGTCCCCCAATGAGCAGCTCCCTGGTCTGAAAGGGCGGGGAAACAGCCCAATGAGCATCACCACAGGGGAGCCAATCAGTTGGCAGCTAGAACTTTGCTGGGGCCGCTGTGAGCCAATCATCAGCTGGCAGCTGGAAATTTGCTGGCAGCTGGAAGTATGCTGGGGCCCCTTTTGGCTGTGGCTCTCAACATCTCCCCCTCTCTGTTTAAACAACAAGCATGTGGCTTAGGGACTGTGCCTGCCTTAGGTTGTCCAATACTACATATGGTCCTTACCCGTCGTTGGATGAGCTGACCTCAAGGCTTCAGCCTCCTGTCTTAGGTTGGTAACATTGCAGTTCGATCTTACCGTCATTGACTACCGGTCCAGCATACAGCCACACCTGTGGATAGGTCTTTGTACCAGCGGGGGGGTGAGGTTCTTTGCCTCACCTCTGTTGGCCCCCAAATTTTAGCTGAACGACCATCACAAACAGAAGGGAGGAGGATACACCAAGCCAATTGACGGCTCCTTTTGGAAAAATTGTACCACCAATGACACCATCAGCAAAAATACCCCAACAATACCACAAGACGCTGCACCAACAGATAGTTCACAATGCATACAAGTGAGTTCACAATGCATACAAGTGATACATAGTCCAGGCAAGTTCTGCAAGCAGTTCAGTGATGGCTCCTTTTGGAAAAATTGTACCACCAATGACACCATCAGCAAAAATACCCCAACACTACCACAAGTCGCTGCACCAACAGATAGCTCACAATGCATACAAGTGATACATAGTCTAAGCAAGTTCTGCAAGCAGTTCAGTGATGGCTATTGCAGAAGCTGTAGATTGGTTTTATCTTTGTCTTCACTGGCACTAGGATGAAGATAGGAATTCTGGCAATAATAGCTAAAGAAAAAATTATGTAACATTCCAGAAGGCACTAAAAGAAAACAATTTTCTTAACCATTTACATTATCTTGAACAGAAATATTAAATATAATGAAAAGGAAAGGTGAAAGTAAACAAACAGATCTGTTAACCTCCTTTTTTGTTCACATATTAAAACAATCCTCAACAGCTATTTACCCAATTTAAATTAAACCATTTAAATCACGTAAATAAAAAAAAATATTTGGATCCATTTTTTCATGAGGGCTCATCATATATGATATATGGACATACGTACATACAAACATACAACATAAAACACAAGTGTGCACACATAATATAATACATACAACACATAACATAATAGTAAAGGCCTTATAACTTTTTACAGGTGAAATCTCCATTGCAATGTTTAAAAACTCTATAGTCAAAAAATAGAACTGATCAGCAAAATATTAACCCAGGTCTGTATGAGCTCAAAAAACAAAATAGAACTTCCATTGTCCTGTTAGAATATCCTTCCAAAGTACCTTGGGCTTATGTATATTTTTTGGACACATATGCCTTTCCGCAGCACTAAGTCCTGATGAATCCAAATTTTAAAAGTTTAGAGTAAAAAGGGTTATTTTAAGTTTGTCTTTGGGGAATATATACCCCTTCCCAATTCCCGCTTTTTGCTTTAATAAGTACATTTTCATAGTTTGATGAGCTCTTTCAACTATGCCTTGTCCCTGTGGATTGTATGGGATTCCTGTTATATGAGTAATGCCAAATGATGAGCAAAATTGTTTGAAAGAGGTAGAAGTATAACCAGGGGCATTATCTGTTGTTAACTGTTTTGGAACGCCCACAGTGGCAAATTTTGTAAGCAATGAGCTATAATATCTTTAGTTTTTTCTCTGGCATGAAGGGAGCCCATCAAAAATCCAGAAGAAGTATCAACTGTAACATGCAAATATTTTAATTTTCCAAATTCTGGCAAGTGTGTGATGTCCATCTGCCAAATATGGTTAGGTATCAGTCCTCTAGGATTGAATCCAAGATTAACTTGTGGTAAAAAGGTCACACAATTTTGACATTGTTTTATTATTTGTCTAGCTTGTTCCTTAGTTATTTTAAAATGCTTTTGTAAAGTATTAGCATTGACATGGAACTTTTTATGAAAAATTGTAGCTTCTTCTAGTGTAGAGAAAATATGTATGTCACGTGTAGTTTTATCTGCTAAATCATTGCCCAAACTAAGGGCTCCAGGCAATCCTGTATGTGCCCTGATATGTCCTATAAAGAATGGATCTTTTCTGTCCCAGATTAGACTTTGTAGAGTGGAAAGCAAAGAGAAAACAGTAGAGGAAGGGGAAATCCTACCAGCATCTTCAAGGGATACTATAGCATTAACTATATACTGACTATCGGAAAATAAATTAAATACAGAAATTTTAAACATCACAAAAGCTTGTAATACTGCATTAAGCTCTACCTTTTGAGCTGATTGTTTGGGTACTAAAAATGTAAAAGTTTGATCAGGTGTAACTATTGCTGCTGTACCATTATTTGACCCATCAGTGAATATATTTGGAGCATTCATGATAGGTGTTTTTCTTGTCATTTTTGGAAAAATTACAGGATGCAATGACCAAAAAGATAATAAAGGATTAGATGGTAAGTGGTTATCAAATGAAACATTAGATTTGCACATGATTATTGCCCAAGTATTTAACTCATTAGCTAACTCATCAATTTGATTCATAGTATATGGAGTAATAATTTTATTGGGAGAAATTCCAAACACTCCCTTTGCTGCTTTTATTCCTTTGAGTATTAATTGTCCTACAGCCTCAGGATACCTAATAAGAATAGTGTTAGGAGAATAAGATAAATGTATCCATAATAATGGGCCTTCTTGCCAAATTACTCCTATAGGAATATTTTTTGTTGGTAGTACAATAAATAATAAAGGCAAACTTATATCAATTCTATCCAAATGCATATTTTCCATATATTTTTCAATGATTTTTAATGCCTTTCTTGCTTCAGGTGTTAACATTTGGGGTGAATTTGGATCTGACGGACCTTTTAGGATATCAAATAAAGGTCCCAACTCTCCTGTTGGTATACCTAGATAAGGCCTTATCCAATTTATGTCTCCCAATAACTTTGAAAGTCGTTAAGTGATTTGAGTTGATCTACTCGTATTTGAATTTTTGGTGGACGGACCATGGTTGAGGATAATAGAACTCCTAAATAATTAATTGGAAAATTTAATTGTACTTTATCTATTGCTATCTCTAGATTATAATTTTTTAATAAGTTTGTAAGTGTGGCATAACATTCTAGCAATGTGTTTTTATCTTTGTGTGGTAATAATACATCATCCATATAGTGAAATATTTGTAGTTCAGGATTTTGATTTCTAAGTGGCTGGATTACTTTGTTAACATAAATTTGACACATAGTTGGGCTGTTAGCCATGCCTTGAGGGAGTACTTTCATTCATATCTCTGATCAGGACCTTCATGATTCAGTGCAGGGATAGTAAATGCAAAATGCGGACTATCCTTAGGATGAATTGGAATTGAAAAAAAAAGACAATCTTTAATATCTATAACTAAAACATACCAAGTTTTTGGCAAAGCAGACAATTGAGGAATCCCTGATTGAGCAGGTCCCATAATAACCATCTCATTATTAATGGCTCTTAAATCTTGCAATAATCTCCATTTACCAGATTTCTTTTTGATGACAAAAATGGGAGTATTATGGGGAGATACAGAAGGTTGTATATGTCCTTCTGCCAATTGTTGTTTGACCAGGTCATGGGCTGCTTGTATCTTTTCTTTAGTCAGGGGCCACTGAGGAACCCATACTGGTCTTTCTGATTTCCAAGTAATTTTTATTGTCTCAGTGGCCCTTTCTGAAAATCCAACGCATGTCTGTCCGTTCCTTGATCTATTTGTATTGGTGCTGCTATACCTTGTTCTTGTTTTTCTAATCTTTTTCCTTTCCTAAAAGCTTGTCTAGTCACAATAGTGGGTGCATTTTGGTTGATGTTATTTGTTAATGTCAAACCTAATTGATCTAGGACATCTCGTCCCCATAAATTTATGGGAAGATGATCCAATACATATGGCTGTATAGTTCCTTCACATCCTTCAGGATCCTTCCAATCTAATACCATTGCACTTCTATGGGGATTAGTCACCACTCCTAGGCCTCGAAGTGTTTTAGTGGCTTGTTGTAATGGCCAATGTTTTGGCCATTCTTGACGAGAGATGATGCTAAGGTCTGCACCTGTATCTAGGAGCCCATTAAATTCATGTCCTTGAATATTTAGTTTTAGCATGGGGCGAGAATCTAAATTTAAAGAAAGCATAGCCCAATCTACACCTGTGGAGCCTAATCCCTTGGAACCTCTTTCTACAGTACGACTGGAAAATTTATCATGTAGGCTAGGTATTATTAGTAACTGTGCTATTCTATCTCCTGGTGAAATTACTGATATACCTCTTGGAGAACTGGCTATAATTTTTATTTCACCTTCATAATCAGGATCAATTACCCCAGGACTTATCATGAGTCCTTTTAGAGTAGAAGAACTGTGTCCCAATAATAAGCCTACTGTTCCTTTGCGAAGAGGTCCTTTTACCCCTGTGGGAATGATTTGAACTCCCATCTCTGGAGTTAGTACTGCTCT